TCATATTGTTTTCTGTGGCCCATTAAAAGATTTGATTGATGGCCGTTTGGAGTCTTGCAGTGTCATGGCAATTCAAGTGTCATCCGCAATAGAAGACACAGAGCTGTGGCTTACATCTCTGTTTCAGATATGAGGATGAGGAACAAGAAGGGAGCGAGGACTGTGTCTTGTGGAACAGAGCTTGTCACTGTAGCTGCCTCAGACTTTTACTCTGTTTACTATTACTCTTTGTGTTCTATTTGTTAGGAGGTTATAGATCCATCTACCAACTGTTCCTGTTATTTCTTTATCACGCATTTCGTGTGCTATTACACAATGGTCACACTTGTCGAAGGCTTTTGCGAAGTCTGTGTATACTACATCTGTATTTTGTTTATCCTCTACAGCATCCAGGACCTTGTCATAGTGGTCCAGTAGCTGGGACAGGCAGGAGCGACCTGCTCTAAACCCGTGTTGCCCTGGGTTGTGTAAATGATGGGTATATAGGTGGTTGGTGATCTTGCTTCTTAAACCCTCTCGAAGATTTTTGTGATATGGGATTTTAGCGCTGTTGGTCTTTAGTTGTTTGCAACTGCTTTACTGCCACCTTTGTGGATTGGGGCTATGTCGTTTTTAGTGAATGTGGGACGACCCTGTGTCCACGCTCCCTCTCCATAGATTGCTGAAGGTACGTGACAAGGGCTTCCTGCAGTTCTTGATGAACACGGAGTTCCACAAATCTGGGCCTGGGGCAGAGTGTATGAGCATGTTATTAATTGCCTTTTCGAAGTTTCGTGGTGTTATGATATTATCAGAGATTTATGAAATGACCAAATTTTGGGCCTCGGTCATAAAACAATATTTCAGATTGTCGACCCTTTGTTTGGTTAACGACTCGCCGGACACTAAGCCATATTGGGACTTTAGTATCTCACTCATGTTACAGTCATCTTGATCAACAATCAATATACGTATAACATACATGAGTATTTTGGCAGTGGTCATAAGGAGATACAGTTGATACTGGCACTCGTAGGTTTTATGTAGATTTAACCTAGTTTAAATTCTAAATAATTTACAACATACAACTGTTGTTAAAAATTCAAATTATGAGACCTAAATAAAAAGTACTAATGTTATCCTGTCAACATTGATTAATTTTCCACATGTTCGAGCATTAGCAGTCACAACTCTGATAATACTTATATTGTACTACGTTATTATTATTATTATAATCAAAGGGGAAACGCTAAACCCGTAGGATTATAGCGCCTAGGGGGGGGATGTGGAAGGTATTCAGGTTTAATTCAGGAACTGGAGAACAGATCCAATTCCCTAGATCAAGAGCATCAAGAAACCTTCCTTGAGGGTATTGTACTACAGACAAGAGACTAACAAGCACTAATAAATTCATGGTTATTTAGTTCAGACGCTAAATACTTTATCTTGTTATTATAAAGGATCCCTAAGTAACTACGATACTTTCTATAATTCGTACTAATTAACAAGCTGCATGACCCTTGGCGGTTTAGAGCTTTATTTGATTATAATACTAATTAACAAAAAAGATTATTGTCATAAGGATGCACTAAACTCGTAGGTGTCCTACGAGCCATGTCCTATGTAGATTTTTCACCTACATTTGGTTGCAGATTAAGACAGGTGTCAGGACTGTCCTGGTGAATATTATAAGCTAGTCACATAAGTTGGTGATTAAGACACATACATGTGTAACAGTTAGGTATCTTTATTGTTTGAAACGTTTCGCCTACCCAGTAGGCTTATTGGTCAAATACTGAGTCATTAGAAATAGAGAAATAGTATTTGAGGTAGTCAGTCCCTCAGCCTGGAGAAGAGTTCATTCAGCTCCACGGTCTGCTTTGGGGGCCCAGTCCCTGGACCCATTACGTACCTCTGTAATCTGTAAATACCTTTGTAACTTGTCATGATTGTGACCAGACTTACCTGGAGTTCATTACCTTTGTAAATTGTGAGTTCATTACCTTTGTAAATTGTGAGTTCATTACCTTTGTAAATTGTGAGTTCATTACCTTTGTAAATTGTGAGTTCATTACCTTTGTAAATTGTGAGTTCATTACCTTTGTAAATTGTGAGTTCATTACCTCTGTAACTTGCTCAGCTATCAAAACTTTGGAGTCCAGTCCCTGGACCAATTATGAATCTCTGTAATCTTTTGACTACCGCCCACAGGATGGGTATGGGGTGCATAATAAACATATTAAACTATTAAACTAAGGTCTGCAACGATATGAAATTGAAACACGAGAATGAAGTCTTAAATACTGTCGAGTGTGACGTACGGTTAATAGGCTATAATGGATGTTAGGAAACAATTGTCTTGTTTCTTAACGAAGAAAACAGTCATACAGTTTACAGCAAATTTCTCGATTTACTGTGTTATGAAGATGTGGTCCGTGGCGACCAATTTTCTAGTACTTGAAAGTACACCGAGTTACGGACACTTTCACATCAAATAACGAACTCAGTACGGAAAAAGATATTCTATATTTTCTTGGGGGGGGGAGGGGGGAATATGCAATCCGGGGGAGGGAATGTGTATTAAAGCGAACGATAGCAAAATAGAGTAAAAAAAATGGGAAAATTCTTAGGCCTATTGGTCGATAGTAAGTTGAGATTTAAGTTTAGTTTAATTAGTTTAATATGTTTATTATGCACCCCATACCCATCATGTGGGCGGTAGTCAAAAGATTACAGAGGTACATAATTGGTCCAGGGACCGGACTCGAAAGTTTTGATAGCTGAGCAAGTTACAAAGGTAATGAACTAGATCTGGTCATAATCATGACCAAGTTACAAAGGTAATGAACTAGATCTGGTCATAATCATGACCAAGTTACAAAGGTAATGAGCTCCAGGTAGAGCTGGTCACACATGAATAATTGCAAAGGTAATTGAGATTTAATAATGCATAATAATAATATTATTTTCAGCATGATATAATGTCTGTACAGAGATGGGTGACGTTTGGTTCTGCATGCAGAAAGCCATTAGTTATGCACGACAAAATGTCTAAAAAATGTAAAAGAAATAGGTATACTATCTACTGCCTGCTGTCTTCGAGCAGACACTGGACAAGCACCTAAAGTCGGTACCTGACCAGCCGGGCTGTGACTCGTACGTTGGATTGCATGCAGCCAGCAGTAACAGCCTGGTTGATCAGGCTCTGATCCACCATGAGGCCTGGTCACAGACCGGGCCGCGGGGGCGTTGACCTCCGGAACTCTCCAGGTAAACTCCAGGTAAAATAATCACAGCAATGTTCTCCAGTGTTCTGTCTTATTTACTCACACACTTGATATATTTGTCTGGGAGTGCACTTTGAACCAGTCGTTATCTTCAACAGCAGCAACAGTCAGAATCATTATTACAGTCCTTAAATCCCAAGTCTGTTTTATAATCAGTGTTATTCATGTTTTGGTGTTTACTGCACATAACATTGAACACGCGGGGCCAGGAGCTAGGACTCGACCCCTGCAATTTCAGTTAGGTATGCTGTGATGTTCTCCCTGACTCAAGGCTCTTCCTTCAAAATTAACACAACGCGTCACACTGAAAATTAATATTTTTTTTATATTGTATTTATTTCAGTATTTGTAGAAATTATATGTAAATTGAATTTCCGAAAAGTTGGGATTGTTTACCAGACGAAAATACAGGAATAAAAATTTCAAAGTGATTTCAAATCAAAACTTAAAAGGAGATATTCTGTATGCCTAAATCATTTTTTTATATAATTTATAAAGGGGTTACAGACTCCCTCTTTGACTCACGAAATCGTAATGACACGATTACAAACAAACCATACCACGGGCGGGCTTGAACCCGCGGTCAGAGAGTCTCAAAACTCCAGACCGTTGCGTTAGCCACTGGACCAGCTAGCCACAATAAGATTCGTCCAACTAGGTATATTTCTACACCATAGGAAGGTTAGCATAGGCACCACTAAAAACTTGCATTTGTGGTCACAGTGGTGCCTATGCTACCCTTCCTGTGGTGTAGAAATATACCTAGTTGGACGAATTTTATTGTGGCTAGCTGGTCCAGTGGCTAACGCGACGGTCTGGAGTTTTGAGACTCTGACCGCGGGTTCAATCCCGCCCGTGGTATGGTTTTCCTCTTTGACGTTTTTGTTAGCAACAGTTTTATTACACCGACTTTATACTTTCCCTTTAGCACTCCTCACCGCCCTTACTGACTGCCTCCAGTCAGAATTTGTTGTATACCCTTTATTGAACTTCATGTTGTTTTGAGTGGCCCATTTGAAGATTTGGTTGATGTCCGCTTGGAGTCTTGCGGTGTCTTCGATGGTAGACACTGTCATGGCAATTCGGGTGTCATCCGCAAAGGAAGACACGGAGTTATGGCTTACATCTCTGTGTATGTCAGATATGAAGATGAGGAATAGGATGGGAGCGAGTACTATTATTCCTTTATCACGCATTTTATGCTTTATTACACCGTTTTCACACTTGTCGAAAGCTTTTGCAAAGTCTGTGCATACTACATCTGCATTTTGTTTATCCTCTATAGCATCCAGGACCTTGTCATAGTGGTCCAGTAGCTGGGACAGGCAGGAGCGACCTGCTCTAAACCCGTGTTGCCCTGGGTTGTGTAACTGATGGGTATCTAGGTGGTTGGCAGTCTTGCTTCTTAGTGGAGGCTCGTACCGTATATAGCTTTAAGAAGAGGTATGATAAAGGGGATGGAACAGGGAGAGAGCGCACCTAGTGTAGACCTGTGAAGAGGTGGGGCCAAGAGCTGTGTGTATGTGTACTCACCTAACTGCAACCACAGTTAGGTGAGTACACACACACATCTCTAACATCATGAGGATAAGTGTCTAGGTGTCTTTATGCTGCACAGTTGTTTATAACTGCCTAACGCTTTTCTTAATATAATATATATATATATATATATATATATATATATATATATATATATATATATATATATATATATATATTTAATATTGTGTGGTATGCAGAGAACAACACAAAACAAAACTGGTTTCAGTGTTGTTGTTGCATGGTGGTCCAGTGCTGCTTGATAATGTCACTAGCGACCTCTGCTATCATGATGACGGGACTCATAGTGTTACCAGTGGTCACTGTGGGCATGACAGATGCGTCCACCACCCTCAGCCTACCCACACCACGGACCCTGCAACAAGAGGAAGATATTACCCACAACCTCTCCAGCACCACCCAGAGTTACCCACACCATGGACCCTACAAGATATTACCCACAACTTCTCCAGCACCACCCAGAGTTACCCACACCACGGACCCTACAACAGGAGGACATTACCCACAACCCCTCCAGCATCACCCAGAGTTACCCACACCACGGACCCTACAAGATATTACCCACAACCCCTCCAGCATCACCCAGAGTTACCCACACCACGGACCCTACAAGATATTACCCACAACCCCTCCAGCACCACCCAGAGTTACCCACACCACGGACCCTACAAGATATTACCCACAACTTCTCCAGCACCATCCAGAGGTACCCACACCACGGACCCTACAACAGGAGGACATTACCCATAACCCCTCCAGCACCACCCACAGTTACCCCACACCAATACGCACCACGGGGCTAGAGTGGGAGAGAGAAACACAAACACTACCTGCTTCTCAGAGTACAAACACTGCTGCTGTTAATAAAGTGTTGGAACTCAGACAACTATGAATCAACACACAAGTTCAGTTGAACTCTCAAAACACTCTCAAGTTATTATAAATTGTAAAAGAGTAGACTGTCAAAATATGAAAAATAAGAAATTTTAAAATATGTACGAGTGTAGGTCTATGAAATATATCGAAAATTTATCTAATGTATAACTGCTTTGAAATATTCTCGCGCCCGCACAGTGTGATAACTGCTGATCTCAACGTTCTTCAATATAACATGACCCGTGTCGGTTTAGCACTTTCTTTGATTATAATAATAATTCAAGATAACATTATCTTATGTATTACCAAGAGATTAAGCCTCTCTTATACCTGTAGTGAACACTTAGCTGGAACGCCAGATAAAGTCGGTATTGTTCGATTACCCTGTGGTAAAACCGTCTTTGGTTATAATTATAACCCTAATTTTTAAACGGGTGGACCGGTGAGCCAGTGGAAGGCCTGTGTCGGATGACTAAAAGCTCCAGCATCGAGTTGTCATATGACTAAGACCCGCGTCACGAAACACTTGTCTTGTTTCCTGACAAACCTTACCTAACCTAACATGCAGTAAACACCTACTCCAAGTCGCCACACGGGTTCGTTACTGCTAGAGGAATATCTTGCCTTAGGTGGTGGTCCACTACACCAAGTGGGTCTGAGGAGTGCGCCATCTTGCAGGTACCAGCCAAGTGGAAGGTGGATGTTGCCATGTGACGGACGTAACAGGTCCAGTAAGCCTCACTTCCATACACTCTTCTTTCACACCCAGGTAGCGGCTGCCAAGTAAAATAAAGTATGGTGATTATAAAAGCCAGGTAGAAAAACATACTACCTACGTGTATAGCCACTCGACTCAATCTTGATAGGATAAGATAAGATTTCGTTCGGATTTTTAACCCCGGAGGGTTAGCCACCCAGGATAACCCAAGAAAGTCAGTGCGTCATCGAGGACTAACTTATTTCCATTGGGGTCCTCAAATCTTGTCCCCCAGGATGCGACCCACACCAGTCTACTAACACCCAGGTACCTATCTGCTGCTAGGTGAACAGGACAATAGTGTAAGGAAACGTGTCGAAATGTTTCCACCCGCCGGGAATCGAACCCGGGCCCTCCGTGTGTGAAGCGGGAGCTTCAGTGGAGAGAGTTTCAGTGGAGAGGAATAAATGGGATTAGGTCAGGGGTTTCTAACAGAGTTAGAGCTAAAGAAGGAGTAGCAATAATGTTGAAGGATAAGATATGGCAGGAAAAGAGAGACTATAAATGTATTAATTCAAGGATTATGTGGAGTAAAATAAAGGTTGGATGTGAGAAGTGGGTTATTGTAAGCGTTTATGCACCTGGGGAAGAGAGAAGTATAGAGAAGAGAGAGATTTTGGGAAATGTTGAGTAATTGCATGGGGAGTTTTGAATCAAGTGTGAGAGTACTTGTGGTTGGGGATTTTAATGCTAAAGTAGGAAAAAATGTTGTGGAGGGAGTAGTAGGTAAATTTGGGGTGCCAGGGGTAAATGAAAATGGGGAGCCATGTGTAGAAAGAGGTTTGGTAATAAGTAATACATATTTTATGAAAAAGAGGATAAATAAATATACAAGGTATGATGTAGCACGTAATGAAAGTACTGTAGTTTGTTAGATTATGTATTGGTGGATAAAAGGTTGATGGGTAGGCTACAGGATGTACACGTTTATAGAGGGGCAACTGATATATCGGATCATTATCTAGTTGTAGCTACAATTAGAGTAAGAGGTAGATGGGATAAGAGGAAAATGGCAACAACAAGTAAGAGGGATGTGAAAGTGTATAAACTAAGGGAGGAGGAAGTTCGGGTGAAATATAAGCACCTATTGGCAGAAAGGTGACCTGGTGCAGGTATGAGTAGTGGGGGGGTTGAAGAGGGTTGGAACAGTTTTAAAAATGCAGTATTAGAATGTGGGGCAGAAGTTTGTGGTTATAGGAGGGTGGGTGAAAGAGAAAAGAGGAGTGATTGGTGGAATGACGAAGTAAAGGGTATGATAAAAGAGAAAAAGGTAGCTTATGAGGGGTATTTACAAAGCAGAAGTGTTATAAGAAGAGTAGAGTATATGGAGAGTAAAAGAAAGATGAAGAGAGTGGTGAGAGAGTGCAAAAGGAGAGTGGATGATAGAGTGGGAGAGGCACTGTCAAGGAATTTTAATGAAAATAAGAAAATTTGGACTGAGTTAAGTTAAGAAAGCCTAGGGAACAAATATATTTATCAGTTAAAAACAGAGAAGGGGAGTTAGTAGATGGGGAGATGAAGGTTTTGGGTAGATGGCGAGAATATTTTGAGGAACTTTTAAATGTCGACGAAGAAAGGGAGGCGGTAATTTCATGCACTGGCCAGGGAGGTATATCATCTTTCAGGAGTGAAGAAGAGCAGGATGTGAGTGTGGGGGAGGTGTGTGAGGCATTGCGTAGAATGAAAGGGGGTAAAGCAGCTGGAACTGACGGGATCATGACAGAAATGTTAAAAGCAGAGGGGACATAGTGTTGGAGTGGTTGGTATTTTTGTTTAATAAATGTATGAAAGAGGGGAAGGTACCTAAGGACTGGCGGAGAGCGTGTATAGTCCCTTTATATAAAGGGAAGGGGGACAAAAGAGATTGTAAAAATTATAGAAGAATAAGTTTACTGAGTATACCAGGAAAAGTGTACGGTAGGGTTATTATTGAAAGAATTAGAGGTAAGACAGAATGTAGAAATGCGGATGAGCAAGGAGGTTTTAGTGTGGGTAGGGGATGTGTAGATCAAGTGTTTACATTGAAGCATATATGTGAACAGTATTTAGATAAAGGTAGGGAAGTTTTTATTGCATTTATGGATTTAGAAAAGGCATATGATAGAGTGGATAGGGGAGCAATGTGGCAGATGTTGCAAGTATATGGAGTAGGTAATAAGTTACTAAATGCTGTAAAGAGTTTTTATGAGGACAGTGAGGCTCAGGTTAGGGTGTGTAGAAGAGAGGGAGACTACTTCCCGGTAAAAGTAGGTCTTAGACAGGGATGTGTAATGTCACCATGGTTGTTTAATATATTTATAGATGGGGTTGTAAAAGAAGTAAATGCTAGGGTGTTCGGGAGAGGGCTAGGATTAAATTATGGGGAATTAAATACAAAATGGGAATTGACACAGTTACTTTTTGCTGATAATACTGTGCTTAAGGGAGATTCTAAAGAAAAACTGCAAAGGTTAGTGGACGAATTTGGGAATGTGTGTAAAGGTAGAAAGTTGAAAGTGAACATAGAAAAGAGTAAGGTGATGAGAGTATCAAATGATTTAGATAAAGAAAAATTGGATATCAAATTGGGGAGGAGGAGTATGGAAGAAGTGAATGTTTTCAGATATTTGGGAGTTGACGTGCCAGCGGATGGATTTATGAAGGATGAGGTTAATCATAGAATTGATGAGGGAAAAAAGGTGAGTGGTGCATTGAGGTACATGTGGAGACAAAAAATGCTATCTATAGAGGCAAAGAAGGGAATGTATGAAAGTACATTGGTACCAACACTCTTATATGGGTGTGAAGCTTGGGTTGTGAATGCAGCAGCAAGGAGGCGGTTGGAGGCGGTGGAGATGTCCTGTCTAAGGGCAATGTGTGGTGTAAATATTATGCAGAAAATTCGGAGTGTGGAAATTAGGAGAAGGTGTGGAGTTAATAAAAGTATTAGAGGGCTGAAGAGGGTTTGTTGAGGTGGTTTGGTCATTTAGAGAGAATGGATCAAAGTAGAATGACATGGAGAGCGTATAAATCTGTAGGGGAAGGAAGGCAGGGTAGGGGTTGTCCTCGAAAAGGTTGGAGGGAGGGAGTAAAGGAGGTGTTGTGGGCGAGGGGTTTGGACTTCCAGCAAGCGTGAGTGAGCGTGTTAGATAGGAGTGGAGAGTTATAGTTTAATATGTTTATTATGCACCCCATACCCATCCTGTGGGCGGTAGTCAAAAGATTACAGAGGTACATAATGGGTCCAGGGACTGGGCCTCAAAGTTTTGATAGCTGAGCAAGTTACAGAGGTAATGAATTCACAATTTACAAAGGTAATGAACTCACAATTTACAAAGGTAATGAACTCCAGGTAGGTCTAGTCACAATCATGACAAGTTACAAAGGTATTTACAGATTACAGAGGTACACAATGGGTCCAGGGACCGGGCTCCAAAGTTTTGATGGCTGAACTAGGTACAAGGTAATGAACTCACAAGTTACAAAGGTAATGAACTCACAAGATACAAAGGTAATGAATACTGTAAGAATGGTTACTTACGTTTATACATGGCTGCAATCATGAACAAATTTTAGAGTAATGAGCAATTCACACTTCCACACCCGGTCACAACTGTAGTGAGTTGTTAGGTAAGACACATATGCAACAGTTAGGTATCTTTATTTTGAAACGTTTCGCCTACACAGTAGGCTTCTTCAGTCGAGTACAGAAAAGTTGATAGAAGCAGAAGATACTTGAAGACGATGTAATCAGTCCATCACCCTTAAAGTTTTGAGGTGGTCAGTCCCTCAGTCTGGAGAGCATTGTTCCATAGAATGAACAATGCTCTCCAGACTGAGGGACTGACCACCTCAAAACTTTAAGGGTGATGGACTGATTACATCGTCTTCAAGTATCTTCTGCTTCTATCAACTTTTCTGTACTCGACTGAAGAAGCCTACTGTGTAGGCGAAACGTTTCAAAATAAAGATACCTAACTGTTGCATATGTGTCTTACCTAACAACCTGTCGGTATTTTATACCATTTTAATGTTCAACTGTAGTGAGTTATTGGTGGTATTTGGGACCTGACGGTCTGTTGGAGTGTGAGCAGGGTAATATTTAGTGAAGGGATTCAGGGAAACCGGTTATTTTATATAACCGGACTTGAGTCCTGGAAATGGGAAGTACAATGCCTGCACTCTAAAGGAGGGGTTTGGGATATTGGCAGTTTGGAGAGATATATTGTGTATTTTTATACGTATATACTTCTAAACTGTTGTATTCTGGGCACCTCTGCAAAAACAGTGATTATGTGTGAGTGTGGTGAAAGTGCTGAATGATGAAAGTATTTTCTTTTTGGGGATTTTCTTTCTCTTTGGGTCACCCTGCCTCGGTGGGAGACGGCCGACTTGTTTATATATATATATATATATATATTATATAATATATATATATATATATATATATATATATATATATATATATATTATATATATATATATATGCAATAAGATCACAGTAAACAGGTGATTTCCGAATATGCAAAACAACCACTGTGAAAGGATAGAGAAATTCCAAGCGATTTCGTGACTACTCACATTATCAAGGAACAATAAAAGTAATGTATGTGTATGTATAATGATCGCCAAGACCGTAGTCCTGGCACGGGTCTCAATCTTGCGATGACCCGTCTCTGGCTCCCGAGGGAGAAAGGTTTCTACATTGATGCGACGTATGCTGCTGAAGCACTCTTCTGGTCAGTTCATCTGGTGCATCTCATAAGCCACAATACCGTATGTTCTCCTAACTGTGGACACTAGCGAGGAGGAGGAGATGTCGTTATCACGGAGTCAACGAACCAGACAAGCTGTTGCCCGTGATAACCACATCTCCTCCTCGCTACTGTCCACAGTTAGGAGTACATATGATGTTGTCGCTTATGAGATGCACCAGATGAACTGGCCAAAAGAGTGCTTGAGCATCATACGTCACATCATTGTAGAAACCTTTCTCCCTCGGGAGCCAGAGACGGGTCATCGCAAGATTGAGACCCGTGCCAGGACTACGGTCTTGTCCATAATTGACAGTCCGACTGTTCGAGTCCCACGTCTATCTTTCTGTTTACTCATTGACAATTGTTTATTACAATTAATCTGAGTTTATTCACAATACCTTTGTTGGGCTACTTCGGAACATTTTCTATGTTTATCTAGGCACCACCCTCTTATGTTATGTAGAAATTATTTGTTGAAAAGTGGGGTAGGTTGTGAATCACATTAAATGTGTAATTAGATGGGAAGTTTCAGTCTCAGAGCTGGTGTGGTGGGTAACAAACTACCTGAGAAAACTTCGGCTTACTGGTTCGCCTGAATGATGCTCGTGCTGGGCTATCATCACCAACTATTCGACAACATATTGTTGGTGTATTTGTTGTTCTTATGTCACTAACACATCCACTCAGAACTTCACCTCACAGAACGTCATCCTGCTCAAACTTGCCTTCTGGAACTTCATCTTATAAAACTTAGTTTGCAGAACTTTACATAATGTTTCCTTACAGAACTTTACCTTATGGTAGAATCTTGCAGAACTTTACCATATAAAACATTTGTTAGCAAAGAACCTTACCTTAGGGAGCTTTACCTTACAGAACCTTGCCTCATCTTAGAAGTATGCAGAACTGTACCTTATAAATCATTTAGGTAATCATAGAACCTTATACTTTTCGGAACCTATCTTAGTTAAGGAGCCTTACAGAACACTAACTTACAGAACACTAACTTCGTAGAAGCTTAGAGAGCCTCCGCTTACCATAAAATCTGTAGCCTACACAACCTCACCTTGTCATGAAAACTTGCTTTGTGTTTCCTAGTGAAGACTGTGGTGTTCCCTAGTGCTAGTGTCAACATTATACCTGGAAAGAAAATCATAACAGCTGTTTTTTTTAAAGTTTTAGTGATTAAACATCTGAAACAAAATTATGTGAAGGCTTTAAAAGAAACAGAGACTTACCAGTTTCGTCAGTGGAGTAAAAATATATATGTTTAGAATTCGCAGAACAAGCGAAATATTCACAAACACTAATCTCAGGCCAAAGAAGATTCAAACGAACCTTATGACAAAGTACGCACTACTTTGCGCACCGTACCATATTGGTCCAATACTTTGGGTAAATAGACTTAGGCCTGAGCTTGCTATCATTTGCAGCTCATAAGACTGCTATCCCCACGAGCCCCTTTGGGGCGGGGCAGATGGCAGACCAGAGGCCTAGCTTCTCCCTACGAGCCCCGTGTGGGCGAGGACTGTAGCTAGGCCTGGGGACAGTTGGTCCCAAAGATGAGGGGGTACTTGTACCTCCTCTCATGGGACACTTAGGTCTCGAGATGCTCCCCAGATAGGGAGCCAAGGCCGGGTCACCACTACTCGGAAAAGACCCGGGCCGGGAGAGTACCGGCGAATAAGAAAAAAAAATACTTTGGCGCCCAGCTACGCAACACGTTTCGGTCCAAAGCAGGCAGCATTCTGGTGAGCAGAGTACTGAGTACCATGTCTTGCTTCCCATGGGGCGGGACAAGGTGGCGCAGGATCGAATCTCGGCAATGCTGCAGTTTGGTCAATGATTGAAAACCACTTGTTTCGTTGCATCATTACTATATAGACTGCTCATGAAGGCTGGTATTCAAAGGGAGTAGGTTGAAATTATCTCTGAGCTTACCACGGCCACGTATGTCCTCGTACCATGCATTACGCCTAGTTCTGCAGGGTGCATGGTATTTGTAGGATTGTTGGTCCAGTGGTTAGAACGTCGCGAACGTTGTCTTGCTTCCTACGGGGCTGGACAAAGTGGCGAGGGATCGAATATCAGCCATGCCACAGTTTAGTTAATGATATATGCAATAATTGCGAACAAACAAAAAAAGATGCAAAATAACCACCGGGGGAGTTGACAATAAATTTAGGCCTTTCGTGTTGCAATCAACACATCAGGAGCTTGCAGTGTTGCAGAAACAGAGTATGAAATCCGGCCATATATATATATATATTATATATATATATATATATATATATATATATATATATATATATATATATATATATATATATATAATGTGTGTGTGTGTGTGTGTGTGTGTGGTGCCGAATAGGCAGAACTTGCGATCTTGGCTTAAATAGCAACGCTCATCTTGCCATATAGGACAAGTGAAAATTTGTGTATGCAATAATTTCGCCAAAATCATTCTGAACCTAACGAAAAAAATATGTTTCACTGTGTTTGTTTAGTATTAAATTATTGTAAACAAATCTAAAATATATTTAGTTGGGTTAGGCTAAAATAAATTGTTCTTGTTATAATAAGGTTAGGTAAGTTTTCTAAGATTCCTTTGGAGCAAAATTATAAATTTTTACATTAACATTAATGAAAAAAATGAATCTTTAAACGTATAAGAGAAAATTTTAGAAAGGACTTAATTTTAAATGAGTTCTTGCTAATTGACCAGTTTTACATATTCGGCACGACATATATATATATATATATATATATATATATATATATATATATATATATATATATATATATATATATATATATATATATATATATATTTGTGTGTGTGTGTGTGTGTTGCACTATCTCGTGTGGGTCATTCAGAAAAAGGAATGGTGGAGGCTCAAATCTCCGTTCGTCCAAAGTGAGAGTTAGCGTACCTAACTGTACTGCTCTTGCTTTCTTATATACTAACCTTTAACCAGCGCCTTGACATCATCTGGATGACTGAGGTAGTTGGGGTCAATATTTGGTGCTTGTTTAGGGTCGTTAGACTTGAGAGTGATGGAACCTCGACTCTTAGGCTGGACCAGAGTCGGTCTCATGTTAAAGGCTTGTTTCAGGTAAATACTTCTAAAGTACTCTCCAAATTTCTGAAAAATATTATTATTATTATTATTATTATTATTATTATTATTATTATTATTATTATTATTATATTTTTTAACGCCGGTCGTCTCCCACCGACGGAGGGTGACCCGAAAAAACAGAAACAAAAGTTTTTCTTTTTACATTTAGTAATGTGTACAGGGGAAGGGGTTACTGGCCCCTTGCTCCCTGCATGTTAGTCGCCTCTTACGACACACACGGCTTACGGAGGAATAATTCTTCTCCACTTCCCCACGGAGATTATTGTTATTTTTTAGATCAAGACACTTTTACACAGTTCCGGACATTTACAAAAGGAAACGTTTCACGACGAGTGGCTTCAATCCTAGCCAACGAGTGGCGAAACGTTTGCCTCAGTAAATGTCCTAAACCGTATATGTCTTGATTCACATACCCCTCAAGGAAGGTTCCTTGATGTTGGTGAGGGGCTCTTGATTTAGGGAATTGGATCTGTGCTCCAGTTCCCCGAATTAAGCCTGAATGCCTTCCACATCCCCCCCCAGGCGCTGTATAATCCTCCGGGTTTAGCGCTTCCCCCTTGATTATAATAATAATTGATTCACATATAATAAGTAAACATTTATTGTAGACCCGAACTTGTCCTGGTCTCAAGATTCATAATTGTCAAAGAGCGCCTGGGGATGGTAGGTCTGCCTACCTGGACGTAGATAATTAGGTTTGGTCCAAGGTAGAGGAAGGCTAGCTTCAACACACTGGATCAAGAGCCCTTCAACAACGAGGTACAGCTAGGAACATCAAAGTACAGCTAGGAACATCAAAGTACAGCTAGATACATCAAGGGGCAGCTAGGAACATCAAGGTATAGTTGGAAACATCAAGGTGCAGCTTGGAGCATCAAGGGGCAGCTAGGAACATTAAGGTACAGCTTGGAACATCAAGGTACAGCTAGGAACATCAAGGTACAGCTTGGAACATCAAGGTACAGCTAGGGACATCAAGGTACAGCTTGGAACATCAAAGTACAGCTTGGAACATCAAGGTACAGCTTGGAACATCAAGGTACAGTTAGAAACATCAAGGTACAGCTTGGAACATCAAGGTACAGCTAGGAACATCAAGGTACAGCTAGGAACATTAAGATACAGCTTGGAACATCAAGGTACAGCTAGGAACATCAAGGTACAGATAGGAACATCAAGGTACAGCTTGGAACATCAAGGTACAGCTTGGAACATCAAGGTACAGCTAGGAACATCAAGGTACAGATAGGGACATCAAGGTACAGCTAGGAACGTCAAGGTACAGCTTGGAACATCAAAGTACAGCTTGGAACATCAAGGTACAGCTAGGAACATCAAGGTACAGCTTGGAACATCAAGGTACAGCTAGGAACGTCAAAGTACAGCTTGGAACATCAAAGTACAGCTTGGAACATCAAGGTACAGCTTGGAACATCAAAGTACAGCTTGGAACATCAAGGTACAGTTAGAAACATCAAGGTACAGCTTGGAACATCAAAGTACAGCTTGGAACATCAAGGTACAGTTAGAAACATCAAGGTACATCTTGGAACATCAAGGTACAGCTAGGAACATCAAGGTACAGCTTGGAACATCAAGGTACAGTTAGAAACATCAAGGTACAGCTAGGAACATCAAAGTACAGCTTGGAACATCAAGGTACAGTTAGAAACATCAAGGTACAGCTTGGAACATCAAGGTACAGTTAGAAATATCAAGGTACAGCTTGGAACATCAAGGTACAGCTAGGAACATCAAGGTACAGCTTGGAACATCAAAGTACAGCTTGGAACATCAAGGTACAGCTAGGAACATCAAGGTACAGCTTGGAACATCAAGGTACAGCTTGGAACATCAAGGTACAGCTTGGAACATCAAGGTACAGCTTGGAACATCAAAGTACAGCTTGGAACATCAAGGTACAGCTAGGAACATCAAGGTACAGCTTGGAACATCAAGGTACAGCTAGGAACATCAAGGTACAGCTTGGAACATCAAGGTACAGTTAGAAACATCAAGGTGCAGCATGACATACCAAAGTTCAGCAAGATAGAGCAAGGAAATTCCTTGAAGAAAATGGTACCTCCACCATCAACGAAGATCCTTATTAAGACCAAAATAAAGTGTTCCGTGGGTTGCTTTCTCAGTATAATTTATGTTAAGTGTTCCTGGTAAACAGTGAGAATAAAGACTCCCAAAACTCACTATTAATCGTGACCTGACAATGGGCCAGGACGAGCCGAAACGTCCTCATGAGGTTTCTTTCGTAATTATGGGTCTTTGCTGGACTGTTAGGTAAAAGAACACGTGCAGCTAATGCGGCATTTTTATTGTGGCAACGTTTCGCTCTCCAGGAGCCTTGTCAAGCTGTTATAAACAATACAAGGACACACACACACACAATATATATAATATATATATATATATATATATATATATATATATATATATAATATATATATATATATATATATACGGTTGGAGGCAGTGGAGATGTCCTGTTAAGGGCAATGTGTGGTGTAAATATTATGCAGAAAATTCGGAGTGTGGAAATTAGGAGAAGGTGTGGAGTTAATAAAAGCATTAGTCAGAGGGCAGAAGAGGGGTTGTTGAGGTGGTTTGGTCATTTAGAGAGAATGGATCAAAGTAGAATGACATGGAAAGCATATAATCTAGAGGGGAAGGAAAGAGGGGTAGGGGTCGTCCTCGAAAGGGTTGGAAAGAGGGGGTAAAGGAGGTTTTGTGGGCAAGGGCTTGGACTTCCAGCAAGCGTGCATGAGCGTGTTAGATAGGAGTGAATGGAGACGAATGATACTTGGGACCTGACGATCTGTTGGAGTGTGAGCAGGGTAATATTTAGTGAAGGGATTCAGGGGAAACCGGTTATTTTCATATAGTCGGACTTGAGTCCTGGAAATGGGAAGTACAATGCCTGCACTTTAAAGGAGGGGTTTGGGATATTGGCAGTTTGGAGGGATATGTTGTGTATCTTTATACGTATATGCTTCTAAACTGTTGTATTCTGAGCACCTCTGCAAAAGTAGTGATAATGTGTGAGTGTGGTGAAAGTGTTGAATGATGATGAAAGTATTTTCTTTTTGGGGATTTTCTTTCTTTTTGGGTCACCCTGCCTCGGTGGGAGACGCCGACTTGTTGAAATATATATTATATATATATATATATTATATATATATATTCAACAAGTCTAGCGTTCTCACCGAGGCAGTATATACCAAAAGAGAAAAGAAAATCCCCAAATAGAAAATACTTTTGTCTCATTCAACACTTTCACCTCACTCACAATAATCACTGTTTTTGCAGAGGTGTCAGAATACAACAGTTCAGCAGTATATACGTATAAAAACACACAATATATCTCTCCAAACTGCCAATATCCCAAACCCCTCCTTTAGAGTGCAGGCATTGTACTTCCCATTTCCAGGACTCATGTCCGGTTATATAAAATAACCGGTTTCCTTGAATCCCTTCACTATTACCCTGCTCACACTCCAACAGATCGTCAGGTCCCAAATACCATTTGTCTCCATTCACTCCTACCTAACACGCTCACGCACGGCTTAGCAAAGCTCTTGGAGAGCGAAACGTTGCCACACCAATAAAAATATTACATTGGTTGCACATATTTTCTTTTGCGTAACATGTTGTCGGTAATTCTGCCAACATTATTACACTTGGTGACTTGTTCCAGCCACGGTATTGTCGCCTACTTTGTGTTAGTAAGAACGAAGTTATTTAGTAAACAGATGCACTGCCCACTACAGTGTCCGAGCAACATATGCTGCAACATTTGACAATTCATTCTCCTTCGGGACCCAGAGATTGGTCATCATAAGACTATAAGATCTGTGCCAGGACACCTGTCCTGGCGAATATTTCGCATACGAAGGTCCTGGAGGGATTAGTACCAAACCTGCACACGAAAATCACTCCATATGAAAGCAAAAGACTCGGCAGGAGATGCAACATTCCCTCGATGAAAAGCAGGGGCGCCACGAATACAATAAGTGTCCGGGGCCCAAGACTGTTCAATTGCCTCCCAACATACATAAGGGGATTACCAATAGTTCCCTGGCTGTCTTCAAGAAAGCCCTGGACAGGCACCTAAAGTCAGTACCTGACCAACCGGGCTGTGGTTCATGCGTCAGCTTGCGTGCGGCCAGCAGTAACAGCCTGGTTGATCAGACCCTGATCCACCATGAGGCCTGGTCTCAGACCGGGCCGCGGGGGCGTTGACTCCCGAAACCCTCTCCAGGTAAACTTCAGGTATCCTCTTTCCTCGTTGGAATCTAATGAAATATGCCTGGCGTCCTCTTCCCTGGTTCAGCTGTCATAGCACATTCCTCGTGCGAATTTCTATCAGTGTCCAGACGTAGTGTCCCAATGTAAAATTTTACTGTCACTATGTCAATGTCTTTCTCTAACAAAGCCTGAGTATGTTTATGGAGCAACTTGCAATGTGAACAGACTGACTGATGTTGTAGTGGCCAGGCTTAGGCTTGGTTACAAGTACTTCTGGCAGTTTGGGAGACACACAGATGATGATCAAACTAAATGTAAATTATGTGATCAGGCATATGGTCACTGTCTTGAACACTATGTGCTTAATTGTCCACTTATTGAGGAATACAGAGACAGACAGTATAATAACCTATGTGACATGTCAAGATATCTTATTAATGAAAATAAGATACCAGATATACTAAGCAAATTTCCTAAATTTGCTTGTAACAGATAAGTGAACTATAGATATGTAGATATAAATCCATATGTATTCCTGTTAACCCTTTGGGGCCTAGTTCCTAGGCCTTTTGTGTATCCATATGCTCTTGCGCTACCGTCCACAGGATGGATATGGGGTGCACAATAAACTAGCCACTTCGGTGGCAAAATCTAATCTCTAACAGGATGTTATATAAAATATTTTCATTGTATTCTATCAGGATGTTATATATGACTATATTTTTGACGATAAATGAATTTTAAGGTGTCAGCGGATGTTTGACTAACACATTTTTCTGTATGTCAATAAATAACTTTGCATCTAGCTTTTACAAAGTGTTTTATCGTAATATCTAAAAGAAATTATTCCTTAAATGCACACACAACTGTTTTCATCCCAGCTAAATATTTCTGAGGTAAACTGTCACACTCACTTGCGCATCCAGACCCCAGATATAAGGGTAGATGGTACCACTGTCCTCAGTGACGGCCACACTGCTGAGGAAGATCTGAGTGTCAGCCCAGTACGGGTCACCATCCTCAGTGACCTTTACCCAGGCGTTGACCAACTCTGCGTTCACCGTTGCTAAAGCACCTGACCACCAGTGAAGAACATAATTAGAGCAAACTTATATAATACTAACAAGTTGTCGAATAAAACATGTGCAACATGCAAGTATCTTTGAGATAAATTTAACCTGCTGTGCAGGCTCAAATAAAGATTAATTCTGATAAGGGCACTAAAACACTACAGGAAGATCTGGATAAGTGGCAGATGCAGTTTATTGTAGATAAATGCGAAGTTCTAAACCTGGGAAAAGAGTAACTACGGTACTTATAAACTTAAATTTAACAATGAAGATATCAACCACTCAGAATGCGAGAAAGATTTAGGAGTTCTGGTTAGCAGTAATTTAAAGCCACGACAACAGTGCGCAAGAGTTCGCAATAAATTAATAGAATTCTTTACTTTATATCAAGAAGTACATATAACTGGAGTCCACAGGTTATACTTCAACTCGACATATCGTTAGTTAGATCTCGTATAGACTAAGCTATTACAGAATGGACATAAATGTGCTGGGAAACATGCAGGGAAGGATGACGAAGTTGATCCCGTGTATCAGAAATCTTTCCTACGAGGATAGACTGAGGGCACTGAATCTGCACTCTCTAGAAAGGCGTAAAATTAGGAGGAATATGATTAAGGCTTTATAAATGGAAGACAGGAATAAATAAAGGGGATATAAATACCGTACTAAAAATGTCTAACCAAGACAGGGTTCTCATCAATGGTTTCAACCTGGAAAAATAGTTTTAGAAAGAATATAGGAGAGCACTAGTTTGTATAAATAGTTTAGAAAACCAACATTTTGGTATCTTTATTCTGGAAACGTTTCACCAGCCAATAGTTTCTTCAACCAATAGCTTCGTCGCAGACGCAGACGTCTTTGTTTCAAGTGGTGTCTTGGGTCCGGCATCCACAATGGCGCGAGTCGTCTCCAACTCAATAGACCTTCCCCACTCACACAGCTCGCAGGGAGTAGCAGAGGTGCTGGTGCAGTTGAGTAGTTCACCGGTGTAGTCCCGGCCCGGTGTTGTATGGTGCAGGAGTCAGGGTTAAATCTCTGGTATCTTAGGGCCAGTGTTCTCGCTGGTATTAGGCTCTCATCCCTCATAAGCTCTGCTCTACTTGAGCCACTCCCCGGCACTTGGGCCGCAGCCCGAGTGCCTGATTTAGTTTAAGTTTAATATGTTTATTATGCACCCCATACCCATCCTGTGGGCGGTAGTCAAAAGATTACAGAGGTACATAATTGGTCAGGGACTGGACTCCAAAGCTTTGATAGCTGAGCAAGTTACAAAGGTAATGAACTAGATCTGGTCACAATCGTGACCAAGTACAAAGGTAATGAGCTCCAGGTAGAACTGGTCACACCATGACTAATTACAAAGGTAAAGAACTAGATCTGGTTACAATAATGAGAACTGACAAAGGTAATGAGCTCCAGGTAGAGCTGGTTACAATCATGACAAGTTTCAAAGATAATGAATCGTGAACACATGATTACAATCATGAACAATTTTCAAAGTAATGATCAGTTAACAAACATTGTAGGGAATTCATCCATTGCCAACAGACGTTGCTAGGTGCCTATCCCTCCTCGGCAGGACAGCCATTGCAAACAGCAGCAAGTTGCCCCGGGATCTGTTGTTTGCAGGAGCACCATCGACCCTCCCCAAGAGGTCGAAGAGGCCAGCGACTCCGCTAGCAGCCCAAGGGAGAGCCGCCCTGGGGACGTGTCAACGTCCTGGTGGATGCCAAGTTGATTGAAGATCCCAGGCCCTCTGTATGGGTGAAGGCACGGCAGCTATCACCTATGTCTGCTGGGAGGGGCTGTTGATTGTTGCCACCTAGGGCCCTCCGGGTGCCCAGACACCCACCGTGTGCACAGATGTTGAAGCTTGAAGAACTGAGTGCACACTGCCTGTGGCACACCTGACAGCTGTCTTGCGGTCGAACTCCACGTCGCTGTCCCTGCAGTGCCATCGCTGACGTGGGCTGGGAGGGAAAACGTGCGAGTGCCTGAGTGACTCAGGAGCTTAACCTATAGAGGTTCTGTAACGAATCTGTACTGTGAGGGGGAAAAACCTGCAAATTAAGGGTTAAAGTATATCAGCGACTTGCCGCCCGCACTGCCATCTAATGGGCTGCTGTAAAAACGCAGATTTCTCATGATCTGAGGTAATGTTTTTAGTCCTGGTAATATTAACCTTACCTAGTTTTGTCTGGAGTTGGGGTAATCACTGTCACCTCCACTCTTCTCCAGATCAGGTAATGTGATCTACCAGGAGCATTAAGGTTTTAGGTTCAACATGGTTACCACTAATGACAATGAAGTACAATTATCACCCTTGTCTTTCTTTAATGTTATGCTTAATTAACTGTCTCGTGGCCAGTATTTTTTCTTGTGTTGTTGCCGGTTATCCCCCACCTATCTATTTGCAGGGTGAAATCATTAGCTACGTTTAAAACTTACAGATGTCTTGGTGTAGATGTACCCTTTAACAAATCCACTATACCACGACTAAATAAGAAATGCAAAGGTAGGCTAAATGCTCTCGAAGCTGTTGCTGGCTACAACCCCAACTATGGTGCTAATGTGAGAATCGTGAGAATGATGTACATAGTCTATGTTAGGTCGTTAATTGATTATGCTGCTCCCATGTTTATATTAGCTAGAAAAAGTTCTCTCCGACCCTTGGAGGTAATGCAAAATGAAGCTCTCAGAATTATTCTTGGGTGTCCCAAATCTACAAAGGTTCTTAATACGAGGTAGGAGCCTGGTATTTCTAGTATCAGTGATAGGATTGTTGAGATTAACACTGTACTCGGTATTAGAATGTTAAGAAATGAACCAGACCCTGTCACAAAGTATCTTACCAACTAGAGGTAAATACACACAGATCTCAATGGATTGTGAAAACGTGCAGTTATATTAAGTTTTATAACCAGCATGAACTGTATCACTGTAGGCAACAAGAGCATTTCACCCCTCCATGGAAGATGTGATCATTTAATATCACATACCTGCAAGTCCATCCTAAGAAGCTCATTGCTAGTAATCTCTTCCTTAAATCACTTGTTAAAGCAACTGCTCAAGAAGAAATTTCTGGTCTAGCTGGTAGTAATAAGCTATCACAAGTTATATACACTAATGGATCTAAACAGGAGTCTTCTGGCAGGGCTGCATCTGCTCTTGTTGCCTCCCTAGTTAAGAACCATAATAAATTTGTTGAGTTAGGCATAAGAATTAAAAACTGGGCGTCTACACTGCAAACTTAATTGTTTGCAATCCTAATGGCGCTAAAGCTAACTTATGACACTGAGCTTGACTCTATCATCATTACTGATTATATGTCATCATTGAAGGCTCTTGACTCATATAATGACTCCAACAACATGCTCATTGGAGAAGCCAGGTATAGATACTCAAAAATCCGGGACAAAGGAATTAATGTACACTTGCTATGGATCCCATCACACATTGGATTACTCCTACATGATAAAGTTGATATGTTAGCCAAGAAGAGTACCCAGAAGGAGAATGTAGAATATAACTTTGGTATATCTGTGTCTAGCATTAGGAATAATAATAGGAGAGAAGTAAATAATGAAAATGATTGTTATAGGAATGCAGTTAGAAGTCTGAGTAGATCTATAACCCACTATGATAACATGAACGTAGATAAGTATGTTTATGGAGCAACTTGTAATGTGAACAGACTGATGTTGTAGTGGCCAGGCTTAGGCTTGGTTACAAGTACTTCTGGCAGTTTGGCAGACACAGATGATGATCAAACCAAATGTAAATTATGTGATCAGGTATATGGTCACTGCCTTGAACACTATGTGCTTAATTGTCCACTTATTGAGGAATACAGAGATAGTATAATAACCTATGTGACATGTCAAGATATCTTATTAATGAAAATAAGATACCAGATATACTAAGCAAATTTCCTAAATTTGCTTGTAACAAATAAGTGAACTGTAGATATGTAGATAAAAACCCATATGTGCATCTGTTAACCCTTTTTGGGCCTAGTTCCTAGGTCTTTTGTGTATCCATATTCTCTTACGCTACCGTCCACAGGATGGATATGGGGTGCACAATAAACTAGCTACTTGGGTGGTAAAATCTAAAATCTTGCTGGCAGCGTTGTCACCCTCAGCAGACGTTTTGATAAAATGGGAACAAGATCGACAACGATTGGACTTGAGTAGGAAAGAGTCGACTTCTCTTCTCTCCCTCCCATCTGAAGTGTGCTACTACTACCCACCCTACACAGGATAGTCTCGAAACAGAAGATTGTGCATATCTTATAACATTCCTGGGCGAAAACATTCTTGCTATAATATATTTCCTGCCTCAAAACACGCTTAGTCTTTCAGTCGGCTCATCTTATTATATTTAATTAAATACTTTTAACAATATCCATTATTATTCGATCTCCAAAAGTCATTTAATTTTTCCATTCTACTCCATTATTCAAACGTTATCCCTGCTGGTACAGCATATTCATGTTCAGGTGTCAGCATAGTTGCTGATCCCTGTATTCCCTGTATTATATAGCATAGCATATTAGTATCATCCATGTGCTTTAGATACGAGATCCCTTGTAGGCCTGTGGCTTTGTGTGACGTCACGGGATACAGATGTGTGGGCTCATGCCCCTGCCCCGCTCTCACTCGGCGGCAGACGATCCAGGCGTAGACAGGCAAGGCAGCTGGGGCTCCATCCCTCATCTCAGTCTGACAATATATTTACCATCCTACAAGTGTGTCTACTTTCAACCTACGATATCTCCATTAAAGAACCCTTTACGATACAGGTAGGTCTGCCAGGATGGGTCCTGGGCAGGGTCTTCTCCATGTGGTGATCTGGCAGTGACTCCCGATGGAGTGTCGGAGTTTGTACACGTGATGTACCGTTGACAACCCTTTGACAGAGGCAGCCATATGACAAGGGATAATTGAGCTAATAAAGTGGTAGGAACAAACCCCAGGACTTTAATGAATTGTTATGCTGC